TACGCTGTATTCCCGAGTGTGGCTCGGGGTTACCGCTTTGTTAACCCCGATCCACATTCGGGAATACCAATGGCAACGCGCGGCAAAACGCCCCAAAGAAGCTCCTGTACTTCTTTGGGCGTAGGACGTTTTGTAGCGCGTTCATACGGCCTGTATTACGCCCAGGTGTGAACCATACCCATAGGAAATAATGGGATTTCGGTGTTTGAGCGTTTCGCAGAGCGTAGGAACGCGCTATAAAACGCCCAGGTGTGAACCGGGCCTAATATATGATCTTTGATTTCTCTCCTCCTGGTTTACCAAGGAGGGAGTGTGGGGGGAGGAGATTCAGCATGTGAGCGGTCACCAGCCTCATACTTTCTTTGCTGAATGTGGTCACACACTCACAGAGGAGACGGATCCTACATGTGAAATAAAGATGTTTTTCTGTGTAGAATTGTTGTCAGTAGTTTTGATAATCCAGAGCATTGCAGAGGAGATTACACGCAGTGACACAGTCACATGCTGTTTCTGCTGGGATCGAGACGGTATTGGGAGCAAAATATTGCTCGATGTCCGCGTAATTTCGGCTGCCACCTCTCCCCTGCTTCTCTTTGTGCTGATGCCTCCCCATCTGTGCCAGTAACGGAGCTCTAAAGCCACTGTTCTGTCGAAAGAGCCAATTCATCAAAATCTCCAATAATGTTACTTTCAGTAACTTGGCAGCAGGAGATTGACAAGTTGGCGTTCGTGCGCATGCCAACTGCATAACGCTAAACCAGGAGGATTTCCATAGCACAGCAAATTCACAACTCACTTGTCCAGTTCTCCAACACCTGTGAGTGTGCATGCAAAAATTGTGAAAATGCGGCTGCACAGAGCGCCTCCAGTCTTTCTGTTCTGCAGTCGCTCGTGCTGTACCGTCAATTTGTCCAAATTTCCTGTTGGCAAGTTATCGAAAATGACGTAATTGGAGATTTTGAAGAATTGGCTCTTTTGACAGAACACCATGTGGAGTGGGAACTGTGCTCAGACAGGTCTCCCCATGCCATGCCACAAAATGTTTGTAGAAGCATCTGCATGCCGAGGTGCTTGAATTTATTACACCTGTGGCCATGGAGGGGATTGGAACACCTGAATCCAATGAGTTGGAGGGGTGTCCCAATACTTTTGGCAATACAGTGTATCTGAATGGAGGGTAGACAGACAGAAAAAGGACAGGTCAGGCAGACAATGTCATGGTAAACGTGGACTCAAACTGTCAGATCAATGCTCACTTGACCCCTTCCAGACAACCAAACTGCGCAGACATGAGATCAACACCAGAACCTATCACAAACAGCCAGATTGGTTGATGGTCATCACATCATTAATAGCGCCGGCACCATGACAACGCCCCATTTGTGCTACAACAATACAGGACACAGTGGTGATGTAGGGACGGGCAGATGGAGCCACAGTGCACAGCATAGGACCGGGTATCGAGACACACCCACATTTTATTTCACATTTTGGGTAAAATAGGGAATGTAGACAACAGGGAGCGAGATAAATATCCTCCCTGCAGCTGGCCATACACTCAGGACATGAGAAATCCATCAAACAGGCAGTGGGTAATGATCATTTAACTCATCTGAAATTAAAGAAATTCGGATTTATCCGAATGCCAAAACGAACTGACCTTCAGTCTAGGTTCACACCAGATGCAGTGCGTTCCGGTCCGATTCTGGCCGGAACGCACTGCATCACATTGCGGCCAACTCACTTTTTTGTGGGGCAGGAGGGGGCGTGGCAGGCCATTGAGGT